CGCTCCCGGTGCGCGCCCCGCGGGAAGCGCGGCGGAGAGGCTGGCCTCGGCAGCGTGCGTGTTTCCTGCCAAGCATGGAGGTGTTCCCGTCCCCCCTGGAGTCTGCCAGGTTCATAGCCGAGCACAGCAAAGATGTCTCCGTGGACGAGGAGGGAGCGCGGCGGGTTGCGGAGAGCCTGTTCGACAAAGCCTCGGCGGCGGAGTTCGGGTTGGCGGGGTGGAAAAGCCTGCACGAGCTGAATCCCCGGTCTGCCGACAAGGAGGCTGTAGACTGGGTGTTCCTGGTGGACACCCTCAACTTCTCCTTCTGGTCCGAGCAGGAGGAGCGCAAGTACCTTGTGAAGTACAAGGATAAAACCTACAGCGGCTACTGGTCGCTGTGCGCCGCCGTCAACAGGGCCCTGGACGACGGTCAGTGAGCGCCGGGGCAGCGGGGCCGGGCCGGGGCTGCGGGCGAGGGGCGTCGGAAGCCGGGCGTGCTAAATGAAGGCGGCGCCTCGGATCTGGGACACGCTCTTGGAAACCGCTGCTCGCTGTGTCAGTAGCTCTGTATGTGCAGGCGTCCCGTTGAGCTTGGGGAGGGGAACTGGAAGTGCTTTGAAAATACCCTTGTACTGAAACTAACTCGTGGCTGTATCTGGGTTATCTCTTCCTTTCAAAAGACTTTTAAGGACTGCCAGTAATCGGCTGTGCGCGACTTGGGTTATTTCACATGTATTCTTAAGTTACAGATTCCCGTGGCAAATGAAAAAATGAGGCATAAAGCGAGAATCCTCTAGACTAATCAAATGCCAATGTCTAAAGTAAATCTGAAAACCCATATGTCCCTCAAACCAGTATTTTAAAACCAGTATTTTAAACTTTCGGATTTAAACCCAGTACTTTAGTACTCCCTCTTTTTGCTGTTCTCACAAAAAAAAAAAAAAAAACCCAAACCAAAAACCCCAATTGTTAGTAGGTATAAATGAAAGTTTTAATTCATTTTCTGCATAGTTATTTAGTAAATTAAGGGGGTATTAGCATTAAGATACGTTTTGTAAATCCACAGCATGATTAGGATCCATGGGAAAACAGGCTTATTCGGACGAAACCAGTTACATATTGACTGTGTTTGCCAATGTGCTATGTAAACATCACACTTAAATAGGATCCATGGGAAAACAGGCTTATTCCGACTAAACCAGTTACCCAGTTACATATTGACTGTGTTTGCCAATGTGCTATGTAAACATCACACTTAAAATACGAAAACCAGGCAGTTTGGGAGGATTATACACAAAAAGTAACAACAGTTCTATGGTTGTATGTTGGAAGTTTGCTGTAGAAGAAAACAGCATGCACTCGTAAATTTAGTTGTGAGCAGCTCTGTGGATGCAGTTATTGCTGAAAGCAAAGGTGGGTTTAAGAGTTGATGGACTTCTTAGATCTTTCTATAGAAGTTCTTTCCTTTAGCAGACCACTGCACTACGTCTATATGTTATGTTATGTGATAGCCTAAATATCTCATTTTCACTTTTCTGAAGGAATACCTATCACCAGTGCATCCTATTTTGCCACCATGACGCTTGACCAAGTTAGGCACGTATTTCGCTCTGACACAGAAGTGCCTTTGCCTTTGATTGAAGAAAGACACCGGGTGCTGAACGAAAGTGGAATAGTTCTGTTAGAGAAGTTTGGAGGATCTTTCCTCACGTGTGTTAAAATGAGTGAGAAGAGTGCTCAGAAACTGCTACATCTTGTACTGGAAAATTTTCCTTCTTACAGAGATGAAGCTGTATTTGAGGTAAGCTAATTCTAAAGCTCTGGAAAAAAACCCTACTATTTACTAACAGTAAAAGACACTTGATAGTCTACTAGTCAGGACAAGAATAACTTTCTTTTTCCCACCAGAGGAGTACCTCTTTTCTCATATGCTGTCTCTTTATCAATTTACTGTAATTTATTTTGGTATACTCTTGAGTTCCCAGTTAGATCACACCTCCTTTTTGCTCCCTAAAAATGCATAGTATTTGAGATAATTCCTGCCTGAAAAATGGGAATCCTTTTTCCTTTTTTTTTTTCACTTCCTTGAATCGCTGACAACCCTCCTCCCACCATCTTCTTTTTCTTTTACCTTAAGGTTCTCTGCAGCTAATGAAGGAAGTGAAACTCTGGTAGAATTAATGCACAGCTACTGGGACTCCACCCTCTAACGGCTGTTGATTCAACAGGCATTACTCAAATCACCACAGATTAGAAGTAACCCACTTTTTATACAAATGGTGACAGTATATCAAAATGTTTACTGAAAGAAACTGATGGGAATTAAGCAGGGATCATTTGATATTTTTTCTCTCCCAGTTTTCACCTATACTGGCATGGTTTTCATTTAGCACCTGTGACTTAAGTAGCAGCTCGTGTGCTCAGTTGCATGTGAAGTAGTACTCAGCTGTTACATCATTAAATCTAGAAGACTTTGTTAGTGACAGTACTGCCTATGCTACTGGTCTGTGCAGTCTTTTCAGCTTCTTGGAATACCAGTCACTGAAGCTTTGAACCTATTGCATTTATTGCCCTCAGTAGGAGGTGTCATTTTATTTTCCTTAGTCTCCTGCTGTGAAGCAAAATATATTTACAAAAGAAAAAATTAGAGGTTCTTTTTAATTAATCTTTGAAGCTACTGGTTTCATTTATTTGGGTTTATTTGAGTTTTTTAACGTAAAAAGTAATTTTTTGACAATATTTATTATTCAAAAGGGAATGTTTTCTAAGTAAAGTGATATTTTCTTATCTTTATAGTGACTGTATTCATTGATGTTATATCTTTCATGAGATGATGATGAGTGCTTTATAAAGCAAGCCTCCTTAAAAGCAGCAGCAGACTACAGAATGAAAAGCTGTTCCAAAAATGATCCCAGACCGTAAGCACTGACTTAGTAATAAAGCCTGTTGCATGAATATGGAAGCTTTTTTTCTGCTTTCACTTAGCAAGATGTGTATTTTGAAGGTGGTGACATGGATCACATTATTTTTATGGTAGCAGGTTGAGCTCTCACAAGTAAGACTTCTGAAGGGTTAGGAGGGAACTGGAAAGATGGTGAAATATCCAACAGCAAACCAGTGCTTTTCAGTAACTCTCCAAAGGAAAAATACATATAAATTAAGTCCTACATTAGGATCATACTATCACAGACTGCTACAGCTGGCCTTCAAGGGAAGCTTCTAAAATTAGCTCAGTTATTTGACTGTATGTTTTTCCAAATACATATACAAAACACTTTTAATAATTGCACATGTAATCCCAGAAATTGCCAGTGTTAGTTTTTCTGAAAAAGAAAATGCAAACCAAGACCAATATCTCCAAAACATTTTTTCTCCTTGGTGGATAATACATATTTAGATGATGTGCTGTTTAAGTTTTAGACTATATTGTACTCTTATATCAGGGTTTTTGTGTTCTGACAGAGACTTAGTGGAGTCCTTTCTGATCTTCCCCTATATTGCATGTATTCATCTTTTACTTGCCATCCATCACATGAGACTGAGGTTGTAAAATTCTCATTATCCTATTCTTTGCTTTGTTTTTTTAATGGCTGTGCTATCACATTTTGCTCTTTGCCAACACAGGACTCCTCCTTTCTTTTAATGACAGTAGGTTATAATTAGATATATTCCTTAATACTAGAACGTTGTACTGCAGAGAAGATGCAAATGTTCCTGTATGTGATACTGTTTCCTGGAAAGGCAAAGTGTTGCAGAAAAAAAGTTAAAAATATATAGTTGTATTGCCATGTTGAAAAAAGTTCCATTTTTGATAAATTGTACTATCTTTGCTGTCTTTCACAGACAGAATCAGAGACTAGGTAAGAGTTTAAGAAACCATACCATAAGTGGGTCCAACCTCCCTGCTCAAGCAGGGTAATCCCAGAGCACATGATGCAGGATTGTGTCCAGACAGTTCTTGAGTATATCCCATGAGGGAGACTCCACAATCTCTCTAAACAATCTGTGCCAGTGCAGTCACTTGCACAGTAAAGAAGTTCCTAAGTTCTTCCAATTTGACATATATATGTCATCCACCTAGTGCTTTTCCTGCTTCCTGATAAATAGTGGGAAAATTTACTTGAAATGCTTCATAGTCTTTTTCATATTGAGATTTTTGTGTAAACTTAATATGTTCTGTACAACATAAAAGTTAACAATTGAAACAATGAAATTACAAATTTATCTGCTCATTGATGAGTCGCAGACAATATTTTTTTCCTAATTAAGCTGCAGCATGAAATGAAAATTTCCATTCTAATTCTGCCTTCCTCTA